ATCTCTTACTACAAAATATAAATTAAGAAAAGCAGCTTGTAATAGATTACCTAGAGTTTTTACTGAAGAAGCTTTACTTAATATGAAAAAATCATGTAAACCTATAGTATTATATAACAAAGATTATACAGTTTATGGTGAATACCCCTCTATAACAGAAGCTAGTCTTAATTTAAATTGTAGTATTAGAACTATACATAGAGCATTAAAAAGTGAGAGTAAATTACTCAAAAGACGTTGAATTGTTAAATACGGTAGCTTTATATAAACAGTTGTATTACGTAACTTTTAGAAGAAAATAAGTCCTCTTTCATTTTTTTGAATGAGACCTGCGGAGACCTTATCCTCTCCGCTGGAATAAAGTGGAATGACCCGACGGGGTTATTGACAAAGTTAAACACTTTGTTGGCAATGTCAGTGAAAACGATCAAAGAATATTATATGAAAATAGTGATTAAAACAAGTTTTATATTTAAGATCGTCGGTTATCTAAATGATCGCGACAGACTGGGTCACTGATGGGTGGCTGAAATGCTGCTTAATGCACAGTCGGAACTATTGGTTACAAATGTAATCAACAAAATAAACGAATTAAAAGTTATTTTGGTCCATAATAGGGTTAGTTTGTTTATTTTTATTAGAATACCAGGGTTAGCTACAGTTTTAGGATGGTTAGGTTTAGATACTTCGTATGGTTTAGACTCCGATACTTCTAGTACTGATACCTCTACTACTAACTCCCCTGAATCTTCTCCCTCTAAATCTTCTGATTCTTCCGAACAAGCTGTTGGTGGGGCAGAAGAGTCTGATAATTCGGAGTATTAATAAAAAAAAACATAACCTTATGGATATGTTTGTATGTTTTACCATACGGTCAAATGAGTTTATGAGGTGCAACAGTTATTACTAACCTTATGAGTGCAATACCATGAGTAGGACAAGATATAGTTGAATTTATTTGAGGAGGTTTATATACAGATGGACCACTCTACGGTGACGTAGTGTTAAAAATTCTGCTTAATGCTGGAAAATCTTCAAATTTAGGATTTGCATACGTTTTATGCATGGTTTATATACCTATTGTATACGTAAAAATTGCAATGACAAGGAGACAATCAGCAGGGGTTAGAAGTATATCTACTTCAGAAGCCTCTCAGAGACTACATGCAGAAGATCTCATTTATGCTTATTTAGTTGGTTTGTTTGAAGGAAATGGATATTTTTCTATTTCGAAAAAAAATAAATACTTAACGTATGAATTAGGTATAGAGTTGTCTATAAAAGATGTTCAGTTAATATACAAATTAAAGAAGTTATTAGGTTTAGGTATGGTAAGTTTTAGGAATAAAAATGATACACAGATGGTATCTTTAAGAATTAGAAACAAAGACCACTTGATAAAATATATATTTCCTA